AATGAGCGGCTGGACAGTTGTCTCCGAGCACTTTGAGAGTCAGGACAGGCATTTTCGCGCGACGTGTTTCTGTGAGTGGTGCAAGTCGAAAATGCAGCGTTCGTTAGAGCAGAGGTACGCGATTAAATTCGGTGTGAAACTCGGTAAATTTACGACCGAGACCTTTGATATGATCAAGCAGGCTTACCTTTAGCAAGAAATGGTGTGTTTCGGTGGCATCAGGCCTTTTTGGAGGGCCGGGAAAAGGTCGCTGATGAAGACCGTGCTGGAAGGCCTTCGACTTCGACAAACACCGATAATGTGACTCGTGTGCGCAAAGTTTTGAACTCAGACCGTCGACTAAGTATTCGTTTAATTGCCCAGATGTTAAATTTACCAAAATCTGTGGTTCATGACATTGTGACACAGCATTTGAACATGCGCAAGGTGTGCGCGAAGATGGTCCCAAAAGTGCTCACTGACAGAAATTGCGGCGAGTGGAAGTGTGCCAAGAAAATTTGAACATGTGTGAAAGTGACCTCCAACTTTTGAATAACGTAATCACAGGTGACGAGTCGTGGATCTTTAAGTATGATCCCGAGGCAAAGAGGCAATCTTCCGAGTGGCACACGACGGCGTCTCCTCGCCCAAAAAAGGGAAGAATGAGCATATCCAAAGTGAAAACGATGCTCATTGTCTTTTTTGACATCAAAGGCATCGTCTACTATGAATTTGTTCCTCCTGGACAAACCGTCAATGCCAAGTTTTACGTGGAAGTACTCAGGAGACTCAAACGAAGGGTCAGTCGGGTCCGACAAGACATCGCAGCCGACTGGAAGTTGCATACCACGACAACGCCCCGGCTCACACCGCCTTTCTTGTGAACAGCTACCTGACCAAGGCCGGCATCCCAACGCTCCCGCAGCCGCCCTACAGCCCAGATGTGGCCCCCCGGACTTTTTTTTGTTTCCTCGCCTGAAAAGGCCGATGAAAGGCAAGCTTTTTGAGATGACAGAGGGGATCCAAGTAGCCTGCACCGCAGCTCTCAAGGCTATTCCGGAGCATGCCTTCCGTGACGCCTTCAATGCTTGGAAATCGCGCTGGCAGCGCTGCATCGACGCAGAAGGAGCCTATTTTGGAAGTTTTTAAAAAATTGTAACGATTGGCTCAATAAATTTTTTTAAATCGACTCAGTCCTATTACCTTCCGGACAAACCCTGTATGTTTCCAGACCTGGTAGTTCTACGCATCTATTACACATATTTGATGCATCATAGATTTCTCCGTACATTTGCCCTAAAAACTTGAATGATAAAGATACGACGGTGGGGTGAAAAGTTTCCGGCCTGACCAAGAAAAACGACGTTTTAAATTTTTTTTGCTTTATTTTTCAACATAATCTCCATCAACACTAATACATTTCTCATAACGGTGTTCCAATTTAGTTATACTAGTTTTAAACGTGGATTCGTCAAGCTCCTCAAATAATGATTTACAGCTTCGATAACTTCTTTGTTGCTCTTAAATCTTTTACCGCCAAGCCATTTTTTGAGGTTAGGAAACAGGTAATATTCGCTGGGGGCTAAGTCTGGAGAGCAGAGAGGACGCGGCATCAATTCAAACTTCAATTCGTGGATTTTGGACATGGCAATAATCGACGAATGCGCTGGTGCGTTATCGTGATGAAACAAACATTTTTTCTTCGCCAAATGAGGTCGTTTAATTTGCACCTCGTGCTTCAAACGTTGCAATAACTCTGCGTAGTATTGACCAGTGATAGCCTTACCCTTTTCAAGGTAATCAATGTATATAATTCCTCTCGCATCCCAAAAAACAGTAGCCATAATCTTGTTTGCCGATAAAATTGTTTTTGCCTTCTTTGGAGTTGGTTCCCCTTTTCCAACCCACTGTTTGGACTGTTCTTTACTTTCAGGAGTGTAGTGGTGGATCCAAGTCTCATCAGCAGTTATATGAATCGATGCAATAATTCGTTTGGTTACGCCTATACACCGCCAAATTGTCGGTAGAAACTTTCAACCTGCGGTTTTCCAACACTATTTTATGGATCTTCTCAATCATTTCTGAAGTTGTGACCTCAACGGGCCGTGCTGAGCGAGGCTAGTCAGAGGTGCTCACATGACCCATTTTAAATTCAGAAACCCACTGCTTAATAGTTGAATATGTTGGGGAGGAGTCTCCTAGTGTTGAATCCATCTCTTCTTTTATTTGTTTTGGTCTAAAACCTTTCAAATAGAAGTATTTGGTGACAGCACGTTTTTCCATTTTTACGAAAACAACGGACGCGTCTCGCGCAATGTGCTCTCAAACCCAAACTAATGTAGCGATTTGGCTGGAACTGTAACACAAGCTTGGTAGGACGCCACTCCAAAAGTAGACCTAGTGGCGCCATCTCTTGGTCAGGCCGGAAACTTTTCACCCCACCCTCGTAAGTTTTCGATATACGCGTGCTGGACAACTTAACGAGCGTACGACTGTCTGCTTCGACTGCTGAGGATAACTGATCCACTGAGCCATCATGTGTGTTTATATCCCAGTATCTGAGCAGTACTAGAGGCTGGGCGTCATTTGGGCATTGTACAGAGTAAGAATATTATGCGAAGAAAAGTACTTTTAGCCACAAATAAATAACCCAGTCGAAATGAATATTTCTTTGGTAGAACTAGGCCGGATGAGCGCTAGGACGCTTATTGTTCGTCATTATACTGTAATGCATGTTAGAAGTATCAAATAACACCTAATTATTGAGTCCTCATGTATAGAAAGATTCGATGCCTAATTCGTTCACACGAGATACTGTTATTTGCCCATCAGATTTATGTGCTGGATATAAAAACTTCGTTGAATTAGGAAGAACTTTGGAAGCAAAACCGATCAGTGCGACACACCCACAAAGTACCAAGCACCATTCGTAGTATAAAGGCGAATTTTATAAACCAGATTTAATATTGAATTTTGGTTCAGCAGCGGATAAAAAGTACAGGAAAGTTATCAACGCATTTTTCCTTAAATTTTGAAAATGGGTTTCCCAAATTATAGTTTTACCCGATCAGGCGACGAAGAGACTACCAGAGCGTATCATAGCCCCAAGACGGAGCCCTAGGGAACGCCTGACCTGATATCTAGAATACGTGTCCCTAATCTTGGTCCTTCCAAGAAGGATTTAAGCAGCTTCAACAGCCAAAAAGGAAATCCCTTATTAGTCATTTTATATAGCAGCCCTTCATGCCACATCTTATCGAAAGCCTTAAAATGTCCAAAAAACAGCTGCAGTAGTTTGATTTTGAGTGAATTCAGAGGTTATCGCCTCCACAGGTCTAAATGCCTGTTGCTCGGTACTATGCTCGGCGCCAAATCCGAATTGTACGTCAGGAATTGCTTGGAGATCAAAATAGTAATAATGTAGATGAATATGGATAACTTTTTCGACCAACTTAGATGAAGACAATAAACTTATAATGGGTGATTTTTTTGCTAGTATCTTTTTGGCAACACTGTTTTTGACAGATGACGCGTGAATCGTGTCTTGATCAGTTTGGTCTATAATTTAACCATGAATCGACTTACGAGTGAACAACGCTTTCAAATTATTGAATTTTACTATCAAAATTCATGCTCGGTTAAGAGAGTGCATCGAGCACTGCTTCCAATTTATGGGCAATTTGGTCGGCCTACTGAGGGAGCTATTCGGAAGCTTGTGACTAAATTTCGAACCCAGTTTACATTACTGGACATTAAACCACCAACACGCAGACGTAGAGTGAGGACTGAAGAAAATATTGCGGCTGTATCCGCCAGTGTTAGCGATGACCGTGAAATGTGGATTCGCCGCCGTTCGCAGCAATTGGGCCTCTGTTACTCCACTACGTGGAAAATTTTGTGACAGGATTTGGGTGTAAAACCTTATCAGATATAGCTGGTGCAAGAATTGAGGCCACACGACCTCCTACAACGTTTCCAATTTGGTGAATGGGCGCTGGCAAAGTTGGAGGAAGATCCACATTTTTATCGAAAAATTGTGTTCAGCGACGAAGCTTATTTCTGGTTGAATGGGTACGTTAACAAGCAAAATTGCCGCATATGGAGTGAAAACCAGCCAGAAGCATTCAAGAGCTACCAATGCATCCAAAAAAAATCACTGTTTGGTGTGGATTATGGGCCGGTGGCATCATCGGGCCGTACTTCTTCAAAGACGACAATCGCCGGAACGTAACTGTGAATGGCGAGCGCTACCGTGCGATGATAACAAACTTTTTTTTGCCCAAAATGGAAGAGCTGGACTTGGCTGACATGTGGTTTGAACAAGACGGTGCCACATGCCACACCGCACACGAAACAATGGCCCTATTGAGAGGCGAGTTCGGTGAACAGTTTATCTCACGTTTGGGGCCCGTCAATTGGCCGCCCAGATCGTGTGATTTAACGCCGTTGGACTATTTCTTGTGGGGCCATGTTAAGGCTAATGTCTACAGGGATAAACCAGCAACGATTGACGCACTCGAAGCCAATATTGAAGCATTTATTCGTGAGATACCGGCCGATATGTTGGAGAGAGTGCCAAAATTGGACCTTGCGCATGGGCCATCTAAAGCGGAGCCGCGGCCATCATTTACATGAAATGATATTTAAACGTTAAATTATATCGACCGTTCTATCGAATCAAATAAAGAGTTAATCGTTTTTTCAAATTTTTTGGGTTTTTTTTGAAAATCAAATCCTATACCTCTTAAAAAATCACCCGTTAGAACGATAGTCCTGTGGAAAAATGTATCTCGCCTTTTTCGGGATCATCACAACTTCAGCGATTTTCCAGTCTCTCGGAAAATATTGGAGCCTAAGCGTCGCATTAATTATCATTAGGAGATATGTCAAAGCCCTCGGCGTCAAAATTTGCAGTGCCTTGTTAGTCGTGAAGGTCGTTTCTGAATCGTATCTGTTACTATCAGAAACCTTCCCTTACTGACACAGAACATGCCACAATCCATTCCTCTTTTCAACCACCTCCCATGTCAATCCCAACAATGACAGTGACAACGTAAAAATTGCAGTAAAATGAACATCCAAAATTTCGTCAAACAAAGTAGGTGCCGAGCTCCTGTCTCTTCTCGAATCTAACTAACTAAATCCCTTTTCCAGAATTCCAAAACATAAACTCCACACAGCCCTACTCCTCAAAAAAGAGCTTCCAAAAGGCAGTCCAGGTATGCGTCCTTGGAGGTCATACGCCGCTAGGCAGGTTCACCAGTTTTCTGCTGAAGCAAAATCCAGTTTTGTCGCTGCTTAGGATCCAAGGCGAAAAGGGCGTTGATGAGATGGGCATGGAATTAAACTCCATCGATACTAAATGCAAAGTAAAGACATTTGAGGGCAATGAGGGTGTTCCCAATTCTATGAAGGTAGGATTAGTCGAGAGAAGTCAAATGAAGCATTTCATCATAGCCTAGAAGTTCTGCCACTATATTGACCGTCAGTATCCTCGAGTCTATTTTTACAAGATTTTATTTAACGTTACCTGTTTGTATGTATGTTAGTATATAGTATGTGTGAAATTTTGGCGTACCATCATTGCCTTAGCAACTCCTATGATATGGGTATAAAATGAAGGGCTTCATCAAGCACAATAAACAAAGTGACGTGTTTCGAAACCGAATATTGCAAGCGCCTCGAAATGGCATTTTTAATTACCATAGTCATCCCTAAGATGTAGGTATCAAACTAGGGATTTATTTGAGAAATACTGGGAGCAACTTGACATTCCAAATGTAATATGGCGGCCACCGCAAGATGGCGATTAATGGTTTCCATAGTCACCCCTATACTACGGGTGTCAAATGAGAGGGGTTGATGAGGAATAATAAGCAAAGTGATGCCATTCTATAGTCAACGCCAAACAAAGTGGCGTGCACGTCATCAAGGTGGGTGTGTTGAAAAATTTACATTGTTGCCAAACTTTTTGTAAAATAATAAAATTTATTATTTACATATCTAGGTTTATAAGCAATATTAACCTCAAATGAGAACAAAAATAATAGTATAATAAAATTATAGATCTGTACTTGCATAATCATTAAGTATGACAATTATTGATCAGATGACACTATGAAACTACCATATTTAATTGATAGCTTAAAGGTACTGAATAAAAATCCAAATGGGGTCCTCCAAATTTTATGCATGGTATTTATTTTACAGAATTCATACAGAAAAATGCATTCTAAAATTAGGTAAGCTACTGGTGTAAGCTTTTTCTGTACAATAAAGTTAGTCGGAGTTTCTTTCTTCAGCGCTGTCTGAATCTGAATCTTCATCACTCTCAAAGTTGATTATTAAAGGTTCGATGTCTGGTCGATCAAAAATTCGTTCTCTTTTATACCATTTAAAAATTTCTTGCTCAGTATGTCGAACACTATTTTTCCACATGTCTGGGGTAACCGTTTGTAGAGCCTCGTTCCACATATCCAAACAGTCTTTTTCACTGTTACCATCTCTACCAATATGTCTGTTATAGTAACCTTTTGCTATGCCCCAAATTAACTCAATAGGGTTAAATATACAATGGTAAGGAGGCAGACGAAGAACTTTGTGCCCATGTTGTTCCGCCAATTCATCAATCACGTATATTTTAGGTGGTTTGTTTCTAAAAAAGCAGTTATTTTAAGAATAGGAATAAACAAAAGAAATATAAACTGTCGACCAAAATATATATAATTAAGAAGCATTATGTACCGAGCAACAATACTCAATAGCTCTGTTTTAAACATTGTGTTTAAAAATGGTATGTTTTGATTTGTCAACCAGTCTTGGATATTTTTTTTTGTCCATGCATTGTTGGGCATTGTTGGACTTTGTTCAATATCATGCTGTGATAAGGGGCGTTATCCAGTATAATCATAGATGGACTCTCCAATTTTTCTAATAACTGATGTTGAAACCATTTCAAAAAATTGTCCTGGTTCATCTCTCCATGGTAATCGCTCAATTTTGTTTTCGAAGAAAATATCGCTTCACTACCCTCAATAAACCCATTTTCATTTCCAGCATGTAATATAATGTATCTAAAATATATTAGTTTTACATTTTATAGTGCAAATTGTGTAAAAGTACATACCTTTTACCATCTGTTGTAATAGCTTTCACGCTTTTTTGGTTTCCATTTTGCCAAGAGCGACCTATGGTCCCATTTTGAAATATCCAAGTTTCATCGAGGAAGACAAACTGGTATAAGGCCTCAACCTTGGCTTGATTGTATTGCCTTAGAAATTCCACCCTTTTCAAAGCTATACTTGGTAGTTCCATGAGCCCTCGTCGCGGATTGTCCTTAAGCCACTTAAATCCAAGATCTCTAAGCAACCGCCTTAAAGACGTGGCACTACCATCAAATAATGCCCTATCTCTTAATCGAGACCATAAAGTTTGTATCGTAACTTGTTCTTCTGAAACCATGTGTAATATGACATTATAATTTAGTTAACAAATTAATGCAAATTTCTGATAAGTTATTATAATAAGATATTACTTTTGTGATACATATTATAGATCACTTCTCGAATGGCACTTGTATCCAATGTCGCTGTGTTGGTTACACGTTTAATATAACTCCGCTTTTTCTTGGGCGATTCTAAATTTGCATCACTTTTCACACCCTCGGAAATACGACTAACTGTCCTTAAACTAATTTTTAAAGCAGCAGCAACACGCTACAAAAAATGAAATAAAATTTCACTATTATTAATATACATTACATATAATTATTAGTAACCTACCCCTTGAACAGCATTTAAAGGCAACAAAGGCCCGTTGTTGTCCCTTTCTTGCTCAAAGTAGTGCATTAACGAAGCCACGAGTTCCTTACACCGACTATTTAACTGTTTGGGCATCTTTATATACCAAAATTGCCTTTATCTACTCGTAAAATGAATAATTTTGTTTTGAAACAAACAGTTGTTGATTTACAGTATGCGGGGCCAAAGGATTTATAAAGATTTGAAATGCCACAAATTGATTCAGTGTCAAAATTAATACAAATGTCAGTTCCCAGTTTAAATAAGTTTCAAGGTGACAATGTGTCAACGCTGCGAAATCGGTTTAGTGCGTTTACATGTCGATAAGTGATTGGAGCGTTTGCAAAACATTTTATTTCGCATAATGCGTCTAAATTTATCAGAAAGCAACTTATGTGATATTTTAATAACAATGTTTATATAACTATTAACCATAATAAGAGAGTAATGACCATTTTACAATTTATATATCACATTAATATGAAACTGCAATAGAGCAAATGTTTGTGATAGAAACCTAGGCATTAGGTCGGGGAATTTTTATCGTGATGACGTGCACGCCACTTTGTTTGGCGTTGACTATAAATGCAATATGGCCACTAAATAGCGATTTATAATTTCCATGGTAGCCGTTATGATATGGTTATCAAATTTAATGAAAGTACTTAATGAGAGTAGCAAAATAAGCAAATAACTTCATTATGGGTTCAAAATTTCAAAATATAAATAAAGTAAGAAGTTTAATGATAAAATATATGGAAATTATATAGAAATTATCAAATCAGTCGTTTGACATCACAAATACTAAAGAGCAAAGAGTAAATAAAGTAAAAGAGTACGTTTTTAAAAACAAGCATATATTTAGCTGTTCATATAATGAACTAAACACTAAGAAAGTAAGAAGTTTAATGCTAAAACATATGGAAATTATATAGAAATTATCAAACCATAGCGACTAAAGAGCAAAAAATAAATGAAATGAAAGAGTACATTTTTAAAAACAAGCATATATTTAGCTGTTGATACTAAACACTTAAAAATAATTTTCCGATTGGAAATATTTAAATCACAATGAAGCTCCCTCATCTCAAGTTTTTAAATAAAAGCATGTTACGTCTTGAAAGTAGAATGGAGAAAGGAAGTAACACGATTTACTTGAAAACTTGGAATGAAGAGCTTCATTATTGAATATTTCCAGTCGGAAAAAACTATAGTACATTTGAACTTCTAGTTCGTTTCAACAGCTAAGTAAAGTATTGTTTTCAAAAATGTATATTTTTACCTCATCTATTGGTTATCACATGCTACGTGGTAACAAGAGTAGAATCTTAAAGCTGAAGCTTTCAACAACTAGAGTTACATGACTTTATCTAGACATCTACTGTCCTTATTTTTATATAGAGCGCTGACATAGTACTCATCCTTGGTGCCAAGAACCTAAACGAAGACACTTCCTTAGCAGACCGCGTTCTAGAAGAAGGTAAAAGGGTCTACGATATCGCGAAGGAATGTTCAAAGTTCTCCCCTAGAGCTCTGATTATCGTAGCTGTACCTCCAGTGTCAGTATTTACACCAGTAGTTACTGAAGTCTTTCGACAAACTGATTGGTACCATCCTGGGAGGATTGTTGGTTCAGCAGCTCTGGCACAGGTAAATAAGAATAGAAAATATTAACGTATTTCCTACTGAGGTAATGAATACGTAAAATTTAGCTTTTGTTGTAATTAGAAGGCCTAGCAATGCCAGATATTTAGGATTACAAATCTAAAAAGAAAAGCTTGATTTTAAGCTCTGTGTCAAAGGTGTAGTCTTACATTCAGAAGAAATGGTTTTATGTTACGTTATATCAAAAGTTATTGGTTACACGTAATAATTGATTGTATACTTTTTATTTGATTATTAGGAAATACATTACTAAGCACCGTTTTCTAGATTAAAGCTAACACGCTCTTGGCGCGAAACCAAGATATGGATCCACACATCTGTACCGTACCAATTGTTGGAGGACCAGACATAGACGTTGCGCTACCACTTTTTAGTAGAGCGATACCTGTAGAGCTCTCCGACAGGTGAGTACGACAGTGCCAAATCCCTATCGAAAATAAAGGAAGTAATTATAATTACCTAAAAAAATGCGGAATACGAAAATGCCTTTGAAGACCACTTCTAGAAAACCTCCTTCCTCAATGACTACATAAAGAAATGTGTCAACACTGTAGACGCAAACTTTTACAGGGTATTTCAGTTTATTGTTGCATAACTTTAAGATTCGATAGAACTTTTAAAATTAATGCATAAAGTCTATACAAACATGGGTCGAAAAATGCGTGGCTTCCGAAATACAGGGTGTTTAAATTTACTTTCTAAAATAGTTTTTTTTAATATTTCGAACAATATTCGATGTATAATAGTGAAAATTGGTATACAATGGTTTTTTGGTACGACAAAACGAACCATGGGCATAGTTTTACTGTAGCCGCTAGAAGGCGCTCTCTACTGTACCTGTAATGTACTAAAATAACCGAAAAAATTTTCTTAGTGCAATTTTTTGCTTCTTGAATAAAAAAAATGATTCTTCGCACCTTTCTACATAAAAAAGCTCTCTTGTGAATTTTCGTTATAGTTAGCCGTTTTTGAGATATTTCGATTTTTAAGGTTCGATGCATTTTTAATTATTTATGATAAAATAACGTTAAAAAGTCAGTATCTCGATAATTTTTGAAATTGAAAGCAGAATAAGGTTAAACGTCAATTAGTTGACAGTTAGTTTTGTTGTCTGTTGAAACCTGAAACGTGTGTTTGCAATTGTGAATGCAGGAAATTTAGTTTCTTTTCCCTGTTTTTGTTTTTGTAAGTTTTACAAAAATGCCATTTTTATTCTCCAATCAAGAGTTAGCGGATATTCATTTTGTGTATGGCTTTGTAAATGGAAACGCAGCAGAAGCAGCCAGAGAATACGCACGAAGATTTCGAAACAGACGACATCCAACTCGCTCAGTATTTGTAAGAGTGCATCGCCAAATAATTGAAAAAGGTTTTGGAAATCTCCAAAGGGATCAAAACATAAATGTTAGTCAGCGCAGATTTACCCGTATCATTCTGCGTGAGTTTGATAGAGATCCGACCACAAGTGATAGGAGAGTTTCTGGTGCCTTGGAAATTTCAGCAAGCCATGTTCACCGTGTTCTTAGAAATGACCATAGACGTCCTTACCATTTGCAACCTGTGCAAGGACTACAGCCAGGGGACGGAGAACGAAGAATCACATTTTGTCAGTGGATTCTTGATAGAACTGATAATAATAGGGAGTTTTTAAGTAACGTTTTATGGACCGATAAATCATGCTTCACTAGACGTGGAGTGGTAAATTTTCATAATCAACATATTTGGTCGCATGAAAATCCGCATGCAGTTCGGGAAATAAATTTTCAACATGAATTTAGTGTGAACGTGTGGATTGGTATCTACCGTAATCGACTATTTGGACCCTACCTTTTGCCTGCAAGGTTAAATGCTGCGACCTTCTTGGAATTTTTAAAGGCTGAACATGCAAATATGTGGGAGGATGTTATGTTAGATTTAAGAAAATTGGCCTGGTTCCAGTTTGATGGTTGTCCAGCTCATTATTCGAGAATAGTTAGAAACTGGCTAGACGAAAATTATCCAGAAAGATGGATCGGCCGTGGAGGACCAGTCGCCTGGCCTCCACGATCCCCTGACCTAAATCCATTAGATTTCTTTGTGTGGGGACTTCTAAAAGAAAAAGTGTACCAGACTCCCGTAACCACAAGAGATATGCTAATAGACAGAATCAGGAATGCATGTGATCAAGTAAGGCCTTATTTGAATAATGCTATACCATGTTCGGTGATTCGTAGATGTGAATTGTGTATTGAACAATAGGGTTTACATTTCGAGCAACTACTTTAGATTTTGTATGTTTGTCCTAACTATCCAATAGCATTTTAGTTGTAAATAATTAATTTAATTTGTTAAAAATAATATTGGAAAATTAAACAAATTAATATTCTGTTTTTTTGGGTTTATTTGGAGTTAGGAATTATTGCTGTGTTTAAAAACACAATCTAAACGATCATCTCAATTACTTGTAATGCCCAAATCGAAAATGTAAAAAAAAAATATTATTTTCCCATAAATAAATAAAAATGCATCGAACCTTAAAAATCGAAATATCTCAAAAACGGCTAACTATAACGAAAACTTACAGGAGAGCTTTTTTATGCAGAAAAGTGCGAAGAATCAGTGTCTTTGTTCAAGAAGCAAAAAATTGCACTAAGAAAAATTGTTCGGTTATTTTAATACACTACAGGTACAGTAGAGAGCGCCCTCTAGTGGCTACAGTAAAACTATGCCCATGGTTCGTTTTTTCGTACCAAAACACCCTTGTATGCCAATTTTCACTGTTATACATCAAATATTGTTCGAAATATTTAAAAAAAAAACTATTTTAAAAAGTAAATTTAAACACCCTGTATCTTGGAAGCCACGCATTTTTCGACCCATGTTTATGTAGACTAATTTTAAAAGTTCTATCGAATCTTAAAGTTATGCAACAATAAACTGAAACACCCTGTATAAGGTATACAATACATGTCAGGGTATCATAATATTAATAATAATAACAATAATAATAATACACAATACAAAACGTCATAAAGTTAACGGATAAATTTATCTCAGAGATAAAAATGGAATTTGGAAAATCCAAGCATTAAAAAACTGATTACCGATTCAGAGTATGTAACGAGAAGCAACGGGACAAAAGCAGCAATGGAACACACAGAAGACTACAAACATGTGGGATTTGAGCAGAGCAAAACTACTGATCATATTAAAGTAAAAAGCAAGCTTCTATACAAGATTTCAGCGGCTACTTAAGACAAGCCTGGACACTAAAAACTTAACAATAGCGATACTTACTCATTTGGGATATTGAAATGGACATCAGCAGATCTAGTTAGAAACTTTTATAAGAACATCATTCAGTAAGGGCCGTATCGTCAGTCGTTCCTACAATTGTAGCACGCCTTTATGGCCTCCTTGATTTTCATAGACGTTTCTTTCCTTCAGCGTCAGCATTCCCTTATTGTGAGGTTATGTTTTGTTTTTGAAACATAAGAAATTTCATTGTGGTAAAACAGATGATAAATCAACTTTTATCAGCCTGAAATTTCTTTAAATTCAAACAGAAAATATAACCTCAAAATGAGCGCTGGCACGAGACAGTAGAAATCTGAAGGGCAGGAACAACGATTAAAATCAAGGAGTCCATGTGAAAGAATGACCATCCCACGAAAATAAGAAGGGCACGAAAAACAGATGACCAAGATGACAGAATACTTCTAGCAGAAGGAAAACAACTGGGAAATCATAGAAGCAATAACACATGCAGACAGGAACTACACACCACTGAATCTATAAAGTCGTGAAACGATTAATGTCAGCAATACCGAGTTCAAACTAGAGACATGGAAAAGTAAGCAGCATCATGAAACCATAGTTATGTCGATATCGAGCAGTCGTTCAAGCGGCTTACGAATGGAAGACTCTTCCCAGAAACAGAAGCCTTTTTCATGTCTATAAAAGACCAGGTAGTGATAACAAACCTATATTTACACTACAAACTTGCTTATCCTTACTGTTAATCTATTATAATGCGCCAATAATTTACATGTATCTATCGTACAAAAGGCTACCCTAAATTTTCGTGCCGGTAATTGTAAAAGTTCTAAAGGAAGTGAGTTGGAATTCGTAATTGACTGATACGTAAAACTTCTATGAAAAAGCTTGTTGAGTGAGAAGGCATGTCTAGACGTAGTTTAAAGTGTGAAGGTTTGATCTAAAATGTATTTTGTGCTTAACATATACTGGAGATGTAGAATCATTGATCAATTTCTGTACAAAAATCGTGATATCATGATGGAATGCTACTGGAATTTTTAACTAATTCAAGTTTTATAACTTTTTCAGATATATGGTCACATCTTTTAAGGAAAATAAACAAAGAATCCGTATTTAATGATAGAGAGAACCGAGGTTTACTTAACCATTTTTCCAATATGTTACCTAAAATGAACCTATTATTGTATAGTGAACGTCCATAAATTTGTTATATTACTTACGTTTTTACTTCCTACGGCCTCTGGTGAGAAAGTATTGTAGTCGCGAGAAATTTCAGTAATGAGGTCTGTCTGTCCGCTAATCCTTATCCCATCTATAACATGGAAATTACTGGTCGGATTTTGAGGAAATTTTCACGCAGGGTTACTTCTATGGCAAAAACGAAAGATCTTTGTGGTTTTTGAAAAAATAAAAATCGCTCAAACTTCGTTTTTCGATGCTTCAGAAGACTTTTATCATTTCTGAAACAAAAATTATTGACAAAAAATTGCGACTGGGGGATGTAAGCTGGGAAGGGTGTCCTGCAATTTTTTGTCAGTGTATTGATACACTTCCAACCCTGATAATTCACATCGCACATCATATATCGCCCCCTACACTTGATCTTAAAACTGCGTCTGCCGACCTCAATTGCCGCAGCCGGCGTGCCGGTGTTCGTACGCCTCCTACATGAGCAGTGTACTGTAGGTTCTCAGCCGCCGGAGACGCATCATACTTTCAGATATTACAGAGAGACGCCGCGACGTTGCCAGATGAACTGTACTGCGGATAGGGTTCTCGGCTAACTGTAGGGAGCTGCTTGACGGACTTGATCTATTTAATTTCTCTATTATCCATGTTCGAAACTAACTCTTTCTCTTATGGGGATTAACTTTGACATGCTGCTTTCGTCCATCAAACCAAAAACAGCCAATCACAGACAGCTGTTTCGGATTTTTTTTTGGCAACTCATCAGAATGGTCTAGGTTTGGTCTCTGGGACAACGAACGAAATCATACCAACTATCCTCTATCCGAGAGATAAGGAGCCGTATTCATAAAAGAGACGCATATCCCCGGAAGCATAAGGTCTTGCTTTGGAGAAAAAGGTAGAAGTATAAGCATATCCTTGTTTTCATACTCATAATGATTACCTTATACTCGCGAGGATACCCTCAAAGAAGAAGTAAAAGGTTGACTGGTATTTGTATCTTGAGCGACATGTCCTGACTTGTTCCAGCTTGTAGTTGACTTAGGAGTTCGTTCACTCAGCATCACTGACAGTTGTACTCCAGAGCTTACACAGACCGTTCAGTATTTTTACTGGATACAGTTTTTTATCAAATTAATAAGCATGTCATCTTCAAGTTATGATGAAACTATAGAAAATAATGGCAACAACTCGCAGTTCATCGCAGATGAAATTGCCATTGCTCCCATTATTTTGCAAAAGTCACAAGTTCCAAAAATAAAAATGAGAAAGGACGATGCCTTGAAGAAGATGTTGAAAAAATATGAATCAACATTCGGTAAACCATGCTTTGCCATATCCGCTTGGCCTCCATCAGTTCATGGTTGGTAGTTGGAAACTTGATCCATTCGTTCGACTGTGCAACTATGCTGTTCACAACTCTATCCACAGTCCGAAATACCGTTGCTTGACTAACACCAAGTTCCTGACCAATACCTTGTTGATATCCAGGGTCACCTGGATAGCGTAGACGTATCTTCATTTTATGAATACATGAAAGTGCTCCTCCTCGAGATTCCTCATTCTCAACTAAAAATCTGTCCGCAAGCCATTGAAATTTGCTTCGTCGAACCGATATAATTTTTTGAAGTCACAACCAAGTGAAGGTAAACGAAGTTTGTACGTTTTAACATCCCTAATATCCACAATTTCCGCCATCATCGTTTGACCACCTTCCGTTACGAAGTTGAGTCTGTTACTGACCACACTCAGAATTTTTGAAGGATATGCTTCCTATGCCAAGTATAAGTTGAAGATTATGAATATATTTTTACTTATGTTACTGCTTTTAAGGATATGCTTATACTCAAAATGCAAAGGCATTTACTTCAAATTATTATAAATACCATGTGGAGGATTTCTTTCAAAATTCGCAAGTACAAGGATATCCTTTGTTTTATGAATACGGCTCATTGTCTATGGCGCTGTCTTATTTCGATAGGGTCTAGCTTGTGGTGAACGTAATAGTATTAATTGATATATATATATATATATATATATAACTTGAGACGTGGTCATTGTCGTCTAGACCAGTTAGGTGAAAAATTAAAGCTTCCGCCTTTTGTTGGGTACTTCGACAAAATTTAAGCAAAGAGGACTCTTTATACTTTTTTAATTCTCTCTAGCTTTCAATCGACTTTGCCATCATCATCAGGAGAGTAGTATGTGAGGATGCTGCTAATTGTTGTTTACGTATAGGATGAGGGAAACGTCCAGTAACATGGTGAGAGCTGGATAGATGGTACAATGGTCAAAATTATATAAAATATGACAAGAACAAGTTAAAAACAGATTAAAAATTATTTAAAAACATTAGAGCATTACATCGTGAAGCCACTTGATGATTGCACAAAATGGTGGTCATGGAATAATCTATACATATATATATATATATTTATTGATTCTATGCTTCAAGCTATGACATAGAACAGGTCAAAGAGTATTAACGTTTGGAATCACTTACGTATACATATACGTTAAAGTATGAATACAAATAGATAGGTAGATGGTAAACTTCACATATAGTAGTTACAGAAAGACAAACCTATACGAATAAGTCAACATAGAATTATTAAAAGCTTAAACCAGTACCTATACAATAAAACGTTATAATACATACGACATGGAGTTGTCCAATAGATACTAAAAAGAAATACAAAATACTACAAAATAGTGAATTCAGCGACAGCATAAAAACATCCATCACTAAGGTAAATTTTCAGTCGTTTCTTAAAAATGTTACTTGGTTTGGTGTTCCTGATTTCACCCGGAAGTGCATTCCAAATTCAAGGCCCAAAACATTTGGTGCCCTGGCAATCAATTTACATTTGACATACGGAACACGTAACCGTTGATTTTGCCTGGGGTTGGATGCATTTGATTGTCGAATATAAATTTGTTGTAATTCAAAAATGTGTAAATGGCCGCCTCGAGTAAAAATAATGAAGGGAAGGTCAAAATGTTATATGTTTTGCTTGTTTGTTTAAGATTCATTTAGCATTAATGCTACAATGTCAGTTTTGTCTAATTTTCGTTTCCGAATTAATTTTCTGTAATTTCACATTTTTAAACCCAATACTGTTTAGTATCATTGTTCAATTTACTAAGCTCAAATGTTCCTCTTTCAAATACAGATTTGCTAGTCAAGCGACTCTGACAATTTTGCAGATGAAAGTCTATACCGCCTCTAGTTTCGAACTTATGATAATGACTATTTAATTTTGTGAAGTTCTCTAAGTATGGTAGTTATAAATGATTTTCTAATTTGAACATGAAAATGGGAACTAAGTAACATATGCATTTTTTCACATTAAACAACTCTAGTTCTTCTAACATAGAGTTAATACTAGCATATATTTGCTTTTAGTTAAAATGATTCTCATAGCTTTATTTAATTTGTAGGATTTGTAATTTGGAAAATATGTTTTCATTTGCTGTAAACAAGACGGTTGAACAATATAAAAAATGGGGAAGAAGGATATTATACACATTTTTTTAATACATACTGAGATTTTGGGAAACCCTATAGAAGTTATTTATCTTTTTTGATATGTTTGAAATAGTGTATTCATAATGCTCTTAAATAGTGGTTTACTATCCACATATACTCGTATACCCAGATATTTGAACGATTGGACTATCTGCCACCTAAATATTTCCCTATTGACATACATTTTGTTTAACCTGTGTTTAATTTCAGTTTATTAACATTTAACAAATTCATTTCTTTATCACTATTTAACAGCTCTAAAGCCGTGTATAAATCTTTACAGCTATGCCTATTATTTACACCTGCCATACATCTTAGTACTCGCTTTTGGCTTATAATGGGTGATTTTTTTGCTAGTATCTTTTTGGCAACACTGTTTTTGACAGATGACGCGTGAATCTTGCCTTGTGTCATTGTCAAACTTGTTCAGTTTGGTCTATAATTTAACCATGAATCGACTTACGAACGAACAACGCCTGCAAATTATTGAATTTTACTATCAAAATTCATGCTCGGTTAAGAGTGTGCATCGAGCACTGCTTCCAATTTATGGGCAATTTGTTCGGCCTACTGAGGGAGCTAACGGAACCTTGTGACTAAATTTCGAACCCAGTTTACATTATTGGACATTAGGCCACCAACACGCAGACGTAGAGTGAGGACTGAAGAAAGTATTGCGGCTGTATCCGCCAGTGTTAGTGATGACCGTGAAATGTCGATTCGCCGCCGTTCGCAGCAATTGGGCCTCTGTTACTCCACTACGTGGAAAATTTTGCGACAGGATTTGGGTGTAAAACCTTATAAGATACAGCTGGTGCAAGAATTGAAGCCACACGACCTCACACAACGTTTCCCATTTGGTGAATGGGCGCTGGCAAAGTTGGAGGAAGATCCACATTTTTATCGAAAAATTGTGTTCAGCGACGAAGCTCATTTCTGGTTGAATGGGTACGTTAACAAGCAAAATTGCCGCATCTGGAGTGAAGACCAGCCAGAAGCATTGCAAGAGCTACCAATGCATCCTGAAAAAATCACTGTTCGGTGTGGATTATGGGCCGGTGGCATCATCGGGCCGTACTTCTTCAAAGACGACAATGGACGGAACGTAAGTGTGAATGGCGAGCGCTACCGTGCGATGATAACAAACTTTTTTTTGCCCAAAATGGAAGAGCTGGACTTGGCTGACATGTGGTTTCAACAAGTCTGTGCCACATGCCACACCGCGCACGAAACAATGGCCCTATTGAGAGGCCAGTTTGGTGAACAGTTTATCTCACGTTTGGGGCCCGTCAATTGGCCGCCTAGATCGTGTGATTCTTGTGAACGCCGTTGGACTATTTCTTGTGGGGCCATGTTAAGGCTAGTGTCTACAGGGATAAACCATCAACGATTGACGCACTGGAAGCCAATATTGAAGTATTTATTCGTGAGATACCGGCCGATATGTTGGAGAGAGTGTGCCAAAATTGGACCTTTCGCATGGGCCATCTAAAGCGGAGCCGCGGCCAACATTTACATGAAATAATCTTTAAACATTAAATTATATCGACCGTTCTATCGACCGTTCTATCGACTCAAATAAAGATTTAATTGTTTTTTCAAATTTTTTGTGTTTTTTTTTAAATCAGATCCTATACCTCTTAAAAAATCACCCGTTAAAACATCTTCAGCATGTGTTGAGCATCCTTTATGAATCGATGGCGGTGTTGCGTGTGAAGTGTAGAGTCAAATTGACGCCACTGTTTAATGTTATTTCTTTTTAGAGACGCTCAACCGTTATTGGCCCAATTTCGCGGCGTTAGGGCAGACGAATTCCCAGACAAAAAAGCCTTCGTAGAAAACTTCAAGGAAAACGCACCGATGTCCGAAGCATTCGCTCTAAATAACATGATCAACAGAATCGGTCGAGGTATCTGTGGGGACGACAAAGCTTACTACAATTGCTTTGCTAGGACTAACGTTCTCAGGTCCGCATGCAAGTAAGTTTTAGTTAAGTTTAATTGTTGTTCCTTCAAAACTTTCCTTAATACACCGTCATTATTTAGTTAGTGTTTGGTATGCCTTACATGCCTACTTTTCCAAATGATCTGTTTGTCACGTCCACTAGTTTTTCTTTACCAATCTCTTGCTGTATACTCCATTATATGGAAGCAATATTGAATAGAGGTACCTTGTAATCCGAAAAATTATAAATCAAAGAAACCATTTGAACTACGAATAATACTACCAGCCCCTTCCCACTTCAGTTGGCACACTTCAAGATTTGTACAATTTATTTTCTCAAAAACATTTTAGATGCACTCTAGTCGTAAACAATACATATTTGAAATCACTTAGACCTATAACTAATAGAACATCTGAACAAATAAACAATGTGCGAATAAATGCGCGAAGTTAACAAAGCAACAATTGAAAGATTACCATTTGGTAACATCACCTTTATTTTTTATTACGGCTGAAATTCTTTGGGGCATAGTGTTAACCAAGTTTTGGCAAAAATTTGGTGTAAAACAATCCCATATTTTTTGAAGCTTTTTTCTCAGTTCGGTGATTGTACGAGCAGGATGTTGTCGTAGAACCTTTTTCATCTCGTGCCACAAAGTTTCAATAGGTGACAGGTCTGGACTGCTAGAAACCCATTTCAAAAGTGGTACATTATTTTATTCCATCCATTTTATAGCCTTTTTTGAGGTATGGCACGCTGCACCATCTTGCTGAAACACAAAATCTTGGTCGGATGTCAAACATTCTTCCATCACTGGTAAAAGCCATTCTTCTAAAATTGCCAAATATTTGTTTGTATCCACATTTCCATCAATAAAATGAAGTTTTCCTACCCCTTTTGATGACATACTGCCCCAGACCATAATGGATGCTGGAAATTTCACTTTTCTCTTCAGACAGACAACATGGAATGCTTAATTTTTTTTTGCGAATAACTCTACTGCGACTATCACCAACATAAACTTCGAATCGGGCCTCATCACTCCATTATATTGCACACCATTGTTGAGGTGTCCATTGTCTATGTTCTTTAGCCCATCTAAGCCAATTTTTCTTTTGCAGTGGAGTTAATAGTGGCTTTTCTTTGGCCTATAAACAAGTTGTGCAACTTTAGGGTTTTTACTTCACTTTTTTTATAAGAAAACTTACCTTGCAAGTGCTAAATCCCAGTTTGGTGGGCCTCTCTATGAGTTGTGGACCTCGAAATTCTCCTTCCAACAGCGTCACTCCACAAAGCACTTAATTGTAAATAATTGGCACGCCTGTTTTTCACGATTATTCTTCTTAATGCTCTTCGGTCGGCATTTGTGATATTACTTTTTTTCACTTATCGTGGCTTATTAGTAACTGAACCAGTTATATCTTCTAACAATATTTCTCACACTATACCGAGATAAGTCTAACAAAGTTGCAATTTCTGAGTTTGATTTCCCAGAATTAAAAAATTTAATTATCAGTAACCGAATTTTCTCACTAATAACCTTTCCTCTACCCATTTTGAAAACCTTAACTACCCAAAACTATTATAAACGTATTCTGACAGCTGTGATTAATAAAAACAATTCTCATGGCTTTTATTTTTCACAGCCACCTTTGCGTTATAGACTTATTTTGCATTGAAATGAAAATAGGTTTATATGCTGAAATTGCAACATGTGTTATTTTTATGCTGCAAATTTGATTAGGGAGTGATAAAGTTGGTATTTTCTACTATATATTATCAAAATATTCATTGTTAATATTTTAAACCTATAACACCCTGTTACATTTTTATTATTTGTGTTTGATAAGAAAAAAACTAAGATTTCAATAGTTGGGCCAACTGAAGTGGGAAGGGGCTCGTAGATCGTAGTAAACGAGATGGTCTTAGAATGAGTTTTTGCTCAAAGTTTGATCTACCGAATTGCATGTGGTAAACCTAGGAATGACAAATCCTGCAACAATGGCTTTACTAGGTCCAACGTCCTCCAAACCACATGCCATTACGTTTCTAATTGAAATGTAATTGTTTATCGTGGTTCCCCCTATTCTCCGGTAGTTCGGGTACGGGAATGAGTTCCGGTTGATTTGAAACAGACGGAAACCGGAAAACGATTGTCTATGTGTGGAAGAGGGGCGTCGATATGTTACCTCGAGCAGGATCGGTCTAAGGGCGAGAGATAATTCGTTCATTAGAGCCTACTCAGCATTCCTACACAGGAGGTATGAAACATGTCTCTGAAATTGCTAAAAGTTTTTGGTAGACGAGCCTTCCTTAAAGTTTTGTGACAACAGTTCCCAAAGGAGTGACAAGAGAAGTACAGATTTAAGATTCTGTCTAGGGGAGAGGTGCAAATGACATTCACAGGATTTATGTTTAGCAAGGTGTACGTCTTAGGGTGGATGAAGTAGCAATTAAGAATTGAGGAGGGAGGGGGGTGGCGGCTGCTTGCTTAAGCACTTGAGCAGCGCCTCTGAGAGCAAAATCGCTTGTGCGATTGAAGAGCGGAGGGTGAGATACAGAGATTCAGATCTTGCAAGATCTGGCAGACTTGGGCGTCTGGGGAGCGCGAAACCCCTTCACACCCCTACTTCAAATCCGCTCTCGGGCAAAGCGTCAAATCATATGGAGCGTTTGTGAGTGTCGATTTTTACAACGCGTATAAAGATCGACTAACTTAAGACTAACGTGCACCAGTGACGGAGATACAGGGGATTAGTGGCATTATTTTTCCAAATAAAAATAGTACGCCACTGTTTTATTTTTCGGAACGTGCAATTTTTCAAATGTTACCTCCAATTTGCTACAAACGACTACGCCTGTGTTTTTTCCTAGAGTACATTGTTTTCGTAAAAATAAAAAAAATGGATAATCAAAGCTTTATTTCAATAAATGTTACAAAAGACCACCAGTCGGACGGATACAGGTGCGGTTATCACGACGAACATGCGGTGGGCCACCCTCATGCTGATACCACATTCGGTCTCTCGTGACTAACGAAACATCTAACACACTTTCTATGTAATTCTCTAGAAAGGCTAAGTATGAGTTTGCATTTAAACGTTGTGACAATACGTGCATAAACCCTTGGCCATTGAAATGCCGAACCATTTCTAGAAAATCTTACAGAACGGGGATTTTCTGTTACGGGTTTAATTTGAAATCATACTCGTACCTCAGAATACAAGGGTAGACATATTTCTAGTTTAACTACCTGAAGTCTCTCAAACAACTTGATATAAATTTTCGTAGTAAACCAACCCTTCCGGCAAGTTTTAATGACCCTACCAAAATTAATGATTATTTTATGTCTGTTTATAGCTACAAACCTGTTGATTCACTAGTTTGCGAAAACTATTTCAAAAATAAATTGAGCTCTGAATATATTTTTTCATTGAATAAGATAAGTTCAAATGACGTATTACAGGCAATAGGGAGCCTAAAATCTGATGCGAAGGGAATTGATGGTGTATCCCTGTCAATGATCCAGCTTTGCCTGCCAGTTATTCTCCATCACATCGTCCACATCTTTAACGACTGTTTGGAAAAAGGCTACTTTCCAAACACATGGAAACAAGCTCTAATTATTCCAATTCCTAAAAAAATGAAACCCACAGAGTATAATGATCTCAGACCTATCAGTTTATTACCAATTTTATCCAAAATTTTAGAAAAAATTATAAAGTTCCAATTGACCGCTTACCTAGAAAAATTCTTTATACTTCCCGACACGCAATCCGGATTTAGAAAAAATTATAATACAACATCTGCCCTACTTAATCTGCAAGACAATATTTTAAGTGCCTTAGATAAGAAAATGGCACTAGCCTTAATTTCTATAGACTATTCGAAAGCTTTTAACAACATCAATCATAAATTATTACTTGCTAAATTAAATTACATAGGTCTTGACAGTGTATCCCTTTCATTTTTCTACAGTTACCTTCATCAAAGAACTCAGTGTGTTTTTCTCAATCAAGAAATGTCTCAAGTGACAATAATTCCCTACGGCGTACCTCAGGGCTCTGTATTGGGGCCGCTTCTGTTTCTCATATATACGTTCGAAAGCAAAAGTATTGATAATTCGCATGTCCAGTCATTTGCAGACGATACGCAATTGCTTCATTATTTTAACCCAGATAATGTCAATAATACTATTCAAATTTTACAAAACGATGTTAATAAATTAATTAAATACTCTTTAGATCACAATCTACTTATTAATCCACAAAAATCTAAAATGTTATTATTTTGCGCACAAAGAAAAACATACAATGTAACACAGCTCTTGAACATTCAGATAAATAACTAAACCTTGCAATTTTCTGATTCTGCAAAAATTCTTGGTGTTGTTTTTGATACAAAATTAAGGTTTATTGAACATGTTAAAAGTCTATCTCAGAAAACCTACCTACGGCTGCGCTCTCTTATAGCAAACAGGTATTTACTAAATTTTAAGATGCGTAAAAAAATATGTGAAGCATTGGTCATATCTATACTAAATTATTGTAATATCGTATACTATACTTGTTTAGACAATTTCACTAAAAACGTTATTCAAGTTATTCAAAACAATTGTATACGATTCATTTTTGGCTTACGTAAATTTGATCATGTATCGGCGAAATATCCCGTTCTAAGCTGGTTAAAAATTAATGGCATGGTCAAGTATCACTATTCAGTTTTTGTTCACAAATTGCTGCTCACGTCTAAACCTTATTACTTGAAGGAAAAAATTTCATTTAATGATGATGTTCACTGTAGAACTCTCAGAGAAAATAATATTAGAATACCCCTGCATAGGTCTACACTTTTTAAACGCAGTTTTTCTTACAATATTGCTACTATTTATAATGATCTTCCTAAAGTATATAAAGAATTTTCATTAGCTGACTTTCGACAAAAAGTTAAAACATTATTACTCAACCCTCCAAACATATAATTTACGTAATCATTCATTTCTTTTTTATTCCATCTTTAATTCAGATTAATAAT